AAAGTAAATGTAGGGCTGGAGAGATGGCTCAGTGATTAAGAGCTGCTCTTCCAGAAGACCAGGGTTCAATTCCCAGCACCCACAAAGCAGCTAACAACTGTCTGTAACTCCCAAGATCTGACACCATTACAGACATACATGCAGGCAAAATACCATATACATAAAATAAAAATAAATAAATAATTTTAAAAAGTAAATGTAGACAAAGTCCACTTTAATCATATATTTAACTTAATATATATCAAACAATTACTATTGTTGTATACTCCATATTTGAAAGTTACTGTGGTGTCTGAAAGAGAATGGCCACCAATAGGCTCAGATGTTTGAATACTTGGTCCCCAGTTGGTATATGGCTCAGGAAAGATTAGGCGGTGTGACCATGTTAGAGAAGATATGTCACCAGTTGGGGTGGGGGGCAGTGGTCAAAAGACTCTCTGCCTCCTCCTTGCACATCTAGATGCTAGCACCCAGCTGTCCCTGCCACCGTCACCCCACTCTCATGGACTCTGACCCTCTGAAACTGTAAGCCCAATTAAAAGGTTTTATCACAGCAATAGAAAAGTAACTAAGACAACTGTATGTATTTTATATTCATTTGCTGTAGTCCACCTTCAACTTATGCATTTTACACTTTAAACTTTATCAATGATCCACGTTTCAAGTGCTGTTAGGCACACAGGGCCCAGTTTTAAACACTGTACCTACCGAGTCTAAGCCACAAGACCTTATCTGTGGGCCAATGCCACTCAGTAAAGCCAGTTAGCCCTCTCTCTTGCCATTTCACCCTCTTGCCTCCTCTTTCTTTAAAACATTATGCAATTTGATATTGTCAATGAGGAATAAACCCAATTTTACCCAAGGGATTAAATATATTCTGAGCTGCAAGCAAAGGTCAGCAGCCCCGAATCACAGTTCAGAAAAACAACAGCTATGTATTTGTAATTATACACAGGGAGTGTTCAGCAGACCTCTGAGACACCTTTATCTGTTAGCATTGTAGGCTTGGGACGATAAGAATTCCCCGGCAAAAACGAACACAAAAAAGGCATAGGGTATGGGCAACCAGATCTGAAGCTGGGAGGGAAGGGCATGAAGCAATCTTCAGTAAAAAGTGTTGTGCAGAAGGGAGGATGGAAAGCCAGGCTGCCTGGTCCAGCCCTGACCCTAAGCCCCACAACCTGCATGCTGGCTGCATTCACTTGCAGTACAGCTAAAACTCAAAGGTGGCTGGGTGTCACTGTGTACATTTTCAAACCCTAAACTTGGGGAGGAGGCAGAAAATGAGAAGTTCAAGGCCAGCCATGGTTAAGTAAACCCAACCTCAAACAAACAAAACAAGACTTATGATGTTGTACTTTTTTCAAAAATAAAAGGGGCCCCTCACCTAGTGTCTGTCATTTCAATAGTAGGAGCTGAAGCATGAGAATAGTGATTACAAAACAAGACTTTAGAAGCTACCTCTACTTTCCTTAGAAAGCAGATAGATAAAAAGATGGACATAATATCCATAACAGAGAACCTTCAGTTGCACTGAAAATGGCAATATCAACTGATGATGCTAGTGGTTGAAGAACAAGGAACAGCACTCTTCATCAGAGTGTGCTGGCACATGCCTATATTCTCAGAACTGGGGGTAGCCCAAGTCAAACAGAGAGCCTATCTCAAAAAGAAAGCTACCTATCTCAGGTTGGTGGGGCATACATTGAATTCCAGTACTCTGGAGGTAGAAGCAGGCTGACCTCTGTAAGTTCGAGGCCAGCCTGGTCTACATAAAGTTCTGGGCCAGCTGTACACAGTGTGACCTTGTCTCCGAAAAAAACAAAACTAAATAAACAAACAAAAAACGAATTAGATTACGGTGTTCCTGACGAAGGACACTGGAGTTGATCTCTGATCTTCTCACCCATGTCCACATGAACACACATACACACACACACACACACACACACACACACACACAGAGAGAGAGAGAGAGAGAGAGAGAGAGAGAGAGAGAGAGGGAGGGAGGGAGAGGGAGAGGGAGAGGGAGAGACAGAGAGACAGAGAGACAGAGAGAAGTAATCTGTATGCATAAGATGAGATTAAATGCTTAGAGAACTTGCTTAAAATACCCAAAATGTGGAGGTGAGGGGATAAAAGATGGAGGAGGAGTGGTAGGAGTTAGATAAAACAAAATAAACAAATGTTAATGATCTTTACTTGAGTAATGTGTCCAAGGTATTTGTTAAACTAGTTGGTGTGTGTCAGCAACTCTCTGTGATTGCATTTTGTAAGCATGGGGAGGATAGTGTAATCTCACCAAACAATTTTCTAGACCCCTGAGAAAAGCTAGCATTCCAGCAAGAATCCTAAGAGTTCTTGAAAATGTACAGATGTTTCCATTTAAGAAAGCTCTGTAGAAAGAGGAGTGGTGGGGGATTGCCAGTGCAATGGCTTTGGAAGGCTAAAGCAGGAGGTCTACATGAAGGTACCCTATCTCTGACAAAAAGGAATAAATCAAAATTTATTCTTTTCCGTAGAGCAGTGGTTCTCAAACTGTGGGTCATGACCTCTTTGGGGGTCAAACAACCTTTCTACAGAGGTCACATATCAGATATCCTAAGTATCAGATATGTATATTATGATTAGTAACAGTAGCAAATTTACAGTTATGAACTACCAACAAAAATAATTTTATGGTTAGGGGTCACCACAACATGAAGGACTGTATTAAAGGGTGGCAGCATTAGGAAGGTTGTTTTACACTGTTCTGATTTCTAAACTAATTAAATGGGGATGTACTCAGGAAGGCCATGGTGTCCCTGCAGTTGGGGAGGGCTACTTTCCAGGAGGATTCTCTGAAAGTGGAACTCAGGGTGGAGCTAAGACGGACAAACAACAAATCGCTTCCCTTTTCTTAACAATAGTTTTTATTGCTGCGTGGGGGCCATGCATGTCAGGGGACAATTTCTGGAAAAGTAGTTCTCTCCTTCCACCTTATGGGATCCACCAATTGAACTCAAGTCATCAGGTTTGAACAAAAGTTCTTTAACCACTAAGCCATTTTGTCCAGCACCTAGTTCTTTAAGTACAAACGAGGCTATAAAAACAGAACTTTTCAACATTTCTACAGGCAGCACTAACTGAACTCAGTAGATGACAAAGTAGAAGGAGAGACATAGAAGTTGGAGGGAGATGTATTCGAGGAGATGAGAGGAGTTGGAGGTAGAGCTGAGATTGAATATGACAAAATATGTCCACATGTATGAAATTGTCAGAAAGTAAATAAAATAAACTCGAATAAGTAACTATTTTACAAAATACTTTTAACTTAATTTCGAGGTACATCTTAATTTATGCACAGGTTAATTTCAGGTGTCAATTTGCAAGTATAAAGGACATGGAGCTATACAAATACACACATACATACATGCATGCGCATCCAAGTACACACTGCTGGTGCACACTGCTGGAGAACAGTTCAGTGGCATAGTACCTACCTAATGGAAAGAATGTCCTCAGCTAGATTTCTAGCAGTGAGGACCAAAAAAATTAGATAGAATAAAATAATTGAATATTTATTTTTCCATTCTTCGCTACATATTGAAAAAGAAGGATATCTGCTGCCAAACTTGTTCAGAAACATGAAGGGAAACAAAGTCAGCTGGAGTTTGTCACTCGTGCCAATTCTGGCATGCATTACATGCACAGAACCACACAATTCCCAGCTAGGGAATTAAAAAAAAAACTTTTTCAAATGGTAATTTTATTTGGGATAACAGGATTTCCCACTCAGTACAGCCACAGCCCAGGCATAGATCAAGTGCACTGTGTTTCCCAGGTGATTCAATTCAAAGAGCACCCACCCAGTCTGTTAGCCCACAGATGGGATATAAAATTGGCATATTATAAACTAAGACATCTCTGGTACTTTTGGACTCTTTCCTTTGCACTGTTTAAAAATGATTAACACAGCCTACAGCTTCAAACAAGATGTTTTGTAATGAAAGTGTTTTTCTTTTAATCACATCTTAGATTACTTCTGACGCCAGGTCAGTCAGCACAAGGATGCACTTCTTAGTGTGCTGGTTTCCTGTGAGATCTAGACTCTGCTTCCTTTTGAGGAGTGCTTTAGTGCAGCCTCTCCCAGTGCAGATAGTCATTGCTGACTCTTTTGTTTTGCAAGTAGTAAAATATCAATACTGAAATACCCTCTAGCAGAGAACAAAACAAAACATCAGACTCAGCTTAAAGGGGGCTGACCTCAGAGGTGGGGCTGCACCATTTGAACCAACAGCAAACTGTGAGAAAGACAAAGCCAACAATGCCACCCTTTTTCAGATGGTGCATAAAGGGGTAAGGGAGGACTTGGTGATGCCATGTTGTCCAGTGCTCGGTCCTTGCCATACTGGACAGTAAAGCACAGGCAGACAAGTGCAATCCATTAGATAACCAAAATGCTGTTATCTAAGAACAACCAGTTCCCCGCTGAACTGATCAGAAACAGAATCTGCACATATCTATGATCCTGGCACTTGAGGAAAAAAGCACAACATCATGAAGTTGAGACCAGGTTGGCTACACAATGAGACCTGAAAGGCAGCTAGGGGTGTGTGTGTGTGTGTGTACGCACGCACGTGTGTAAGAAAAGAAAGATAAATTCATCTAGGGCTGGTGTCATAGTTCAGTGTCAAAGCATGTGCTTTATATGTGCAAAGCCCTGGTTTCATTGTCAGCACCAAAAAGAGGTGGAGGAGATTTGTCCCAAGAGTAGTGTTAGGAAGACTGAAGTGGAGTTCAGCTGGTTAAGAGCCCTAGCTCTCTAGCAGAGGACCTGGGTTAGATTCCCAACACTCACATGACATCTCACAACCATCCATAACTCCACTCCCAAAGAATCTGATACCCTCTTCTGTCCGCCACAGGCTCTGACACAAACATGGTACACAGACACACGTTGTCTAGATGTGGTAGAGTACATTTTCAGTCCCTTTTTGGAGGCTGATATGGGGACTTACCAAGGGCATGGCTACAGCTCCGGCAGGATTCAGTCAGACTAACGATTATTTGCTGGAGGTCTGCTCTTGGTGGAGTGGGAGAGGGGTTGGGGTTCTTCCAGCCATTGCATTTACAGGACTCTTCTGCCTAGAAGGGAATGAAGAGAGAAACAGAGCTCTATGATGAACAGCCATGGACAGTCTTACAAGAGAGCCATGCACACCAGTTATCTGAAAGGGACTCACACCTATGCCATGTAAATTTCTATATATGTAAGAGAATTAAAACCAAGGGAGAACAAACGGGGTGCTTTGGGTGGTGGTTAAGTTTTGCTTCTTCTGATAGTATCTGCAGCCCAGATATTTTGCTATTGCCTTCCCCAGGGAATGGGCCGTTCCCAGACACTCTGAACCTCTAACTTCATAAACAAGCCAGACTCCCATAGAGTAAGAGGTCAAGAAAGAGCTTGGAATATTTGATATGAATCTCAAGTTTCCCTCCTTAGCTCTGTAGGAAAGAATGAAGCTGACATATTTCACCTGGGCTATAAAACAGCAAACAAACGTGAAGGATATATTATACACAACACCAGGCTTGTCATGTTTGTGTGGCTGGGAGGCCTTCAGCTAATGTCCTTGGACTGAATGAATCTGTTACTCCTTCCTTCGCCACACAGACGGAGAGAGACTGAGGAAAGGCAATCAACCTTGACCCTCGGCCTCCACCCAGCACCCTGGCTGCACTTGTCTATCTCTGACGACAGGATACTTGAAGACCAGAATCCCTCTTCAGAACTGACCAAAACTACCGCATCTAATATGGCAGGTGGGGTAACTACATGACAGTCCATTATAACTCCATTATAACACCACTGCAAACTAGCATGCCCTAGCCCCATGCCAGCTGCCACAGCAACAATTAAGAAGGCCCAAAAGCAGAGGGAAAAGAAGCAGAGTTTTTGTTTGTTTGTTTGCTTTTTACTGGGTTTCTCTATGTAGCCTTGGCCATCCTGGAACTTGCTCCGTAGACCAGTCTGGCCTCAAACTCAGAGATTCACCTGCCTCTGATTCCCAAGTGCTGGGATTAAAGGCGTGTGACACCACCACCTGGCTAGAGGCAAAGTTTAGATCCCCAGGAAACGTCTGTACATTCCCAGAAGACTACATGTAGCACAAATAATTAGAACCCAGCAACAGATACTGGGGTTCAACCTAAAGATCAGAAAAGCAAAGCAGCCTCTACCAATGCTCAGACTGAAGAGGTGAGCCTCAAACTACCAAACCTCAGATTCCACACTTCACTGAGTTCCTGATTCTTCCCCTTTAAATTCCTCTCTCCACCCAGCCATATAGCTCCTGTCGCCACCTCCCTAAGTGCTGGAACTAAAGATGTGTGATCACCTCTGCTGGGATCACCTTCGTGTGAGCTCTGTTTCTCTTTTTGACAGTCATTCTTCATAGCCAAGGGTGTCCTTGAACTCACAGAGGTCTAAACTCCTTATCTCCTGAGTCCTGGGATTAAAGGTGTGTGCCACCACTCCCTGGCCTATGTGGCTGACTAGTATGGCTGCTTTGTTCTCTAATCTTCAGGTAAACTTTACTTATAAAACACAAATAATATACCACTATAACTACTTGGACATTTCTCCCTTTTATAAGCCCCCCTCTCAAACCCTGTCTCTATAAGAACAGGTAGGATGACTCTAAAGTTGATCTTACATTTCTGTCCATGGCTAAGAACAAGCTTCTTGATTCTGCTCATCTGGGTATCATGGTTGCCACAGTTCCAAGAGGGAGGAAAAGCCCAGGTTAAGATGGAAAATGGCAGCACATTTGACAGAAAACAAAGAGCCTTTTCTGGCGCAGCAAGCTGCCAGGCAACACAAAATGAGCAAATTGTATTTCAAAGCATCAGTGCTATGTAGAGAGAAGTAAGACAACAACTGCGGGTGAGAAGGAGCACTGTGAGGAGGACGACAGGGACGAAGGGGTGCCCGTCCACGGCTGCTTGTGGAACTGCCATGCAGTCAGGAAGTGAAGGCCAGCCTGAGTGGTTTACACATGCAAGACACTATGTGCAATCCCCAGTACTAGTGGATAAAGAGAATTCAAGGATCCAAAACTTGTCTCCCTCTGGGGTTTCTTATCAATGCACATTCATATGAGTAGACAAAACACCCATGTGCATAAAATTAAAAATAACAAATACAAATAAAATATGTTTAAGGGACTGGAGAGATAGCTCAGCAGTTAAGAGCACTGGTTGTTCTTCCAGGGGATTCAAGTTTAATTCCCAGCACCCAACATGGTGGCTCTGTAACACCATTCTCGGGGAATCTGACATTCTCTCCTGGTCTCAGCGACAGGTTTGTAGGCAGGCAAATCACTCACATACATAAAAATAAATAAGTTAAAAATCAGACCAAAAAATAAAAAAACGCTTTAAAAAACTTGCCTTCCTCATTGAAATTCAGATGAACAAATAACCACCTCTGAAGCCTGGGTAAGAACTGCAGACTTTGAGTTGGAGATCATAACTTCACTACTACATGGGCTTAGTGCGACAGCAGAGAAACAAGTTCACACCCTACTTGCCTCTGCCTAATGTAAAATAATAGACCTGTTCCCTGGGGCTCATAAACCTCTAGTCACAAGTCTCAAAGCAGGAGGATTTATAATAATCAAGTCTTACATTTCTATTTAATATTAATCACACTAATTTAAGCCACTGTGATAGAATGCTGAATCTATTCTTCCACACAATAGATACTGTACTTAAACATGTCCGGGGATTCAATATATATGGCTTTCCTTGAAAAACCGGCTAATTTTACTTTCCCACAAAATCTCAGGACTCCAGTAGGTTTTACAAAGTCAATTTTGGTTTCTTTGGCTCAGAAACTGTGATTTTTTTTCTAAATAAATAGAAAACTCCAAAAGCAAGAGAAGACAAGAAGGAGGCATGGAACAGAACAATGACAGTCCAATGGTTTTGTGGCCTCATGGCACTCCAGAGTAGAAGGCAAGAAGGGCACGTCATAGGGGCAGCATGTCCAGGGAAAGAGATACCTTCTGGGGGATGTAGCTCAGTGGTACAGCCTTGACTTTCATGCCTAGAACAACAATGACAAAAAAAAAAAAAGCATGTATAGTGGTACCCACCTATAATCTGAGAATTTAACATTGAGACTGGAGGGTCATGAGTTCAAGGCCAACCTAGGTTACATATTGAGAGCCTGTCATTAATTTCAGAACTAGGGAGGCAGAAAGGCAGAAGCAGGTGATCTTTGTGAGTTCAAAGACAGCCTGTTCGCCGGGCGGTGGTGGCGCACGCCTGTAATCCCAGCACTCGGGAGGCAGAGGCAGGCGGATCTCTGTGAGTTCGAGACCAGCCTGGTCTACAGAGCTAGTTCCAGGACAGGCTCCAAAACCACAGAGAAACCTTGTCTCGAAAAAACCAAAAAAAAAAAAAAAAAACAAAGACAGCCTGTTCTACATATCAAGTTTCTGAATAGCTAGGGCTATATAGAGAGACCCTGTCTCAAAACAAAACTAAAAATAGAAAAAAAAAAAAGTCGAGCGGTGGTGGTGCATGCCTTTAATCCCAGCACTCGGGAGGCAAAGGCAGGTGGACCTCTGTGAGTTCAAGGCCAACATGGTCTACAGAGTGAGTTCCAGGACAGCAGGACTGTTTGACGGAGAAACCCTGTCTCAAAGAAAAAAAAAGTGAAGGAACTGGGACTATAGCTTATAGCACTTGTAGCATGCTTGAGACACTGGGATTAATTCCCTAGCAGTTCACATGGCAATCTAAATTGAGGTATGTTACCAGAAACAATATTAAAATATATGGGGCAAACAAAATGGCCCAGTGGGTAAGAGTACTTGCTACCAAGGCTGATGACCTCAGTCTTTTCCCCAGAACCCACAGAGTAGAAGAAAATGAACACACACAGGTTGCCATCTAGCCTTCACAGAGATGCTGCAGTACACGTACAGACTATATATATATATATATATATATATATATATATATATATATATCTCCACATGCACTCTAACTGGAAAACAAATATAATTTTTAAACTTATTAAATCGAGTATGATAGCTCAGACATATAATCCCAGCACTTTTCTATAATCCTGGCATTCAGGAGACTGAGAAAGGGTGATGACGAGTTCAAGGCCAGTCTAGACTACACAGCAAGACTCTTTCCCTAAAACAAACAAAAAAGCTTTGGGCCAGCAAAGGTGACTAATAAGTAAAGGCCCTTACCATCCTCAAAGACAGTCTATACACAGGCACTATGTTATGCATACAATCCCGTGTAATGATATTTCATTTGTATTTTAATAAATAAAGCTTGCCTAAAGATCAAAATGCAAAACAGCCACACTAGCCAGTCAAACAGGCCAGCAGACGTGGCACACGCCTTCAACCCCAGCAACCACAGTAGTCAGCTATAGAGGAAAGGCAGTGGTGGTGCACGCCTTTAATCCTAGCACTACAGATGAGACAGGAACTGGCTCTCTTTTTCAGTCTGAAGATTTCTTAGAGGTAAGAGCTCTCTAGTGGCTTGGCTGCTTTGCTTTTCTGGTCTTTAAGCTGAACCCCAATATCTGTCTCTGGATTTTTAATATTTGTGCTACATTTGGCACCAAACGTTTGGGGTATAAAGTCACAAAATAGTGATTTGTCCCTGGCTTTCTAGGCATCAGCATAGGCCATAGCAGCAAATGGGGTACATTCCAGAACTGCACGTGAGGCTTCAACCCCACTCAGCTAGGCTTTCTTTTCTATTTTCCCAATAGAACCCCAATAACTGTTTCAGGGTTTTTATTATGCATGCTACACTCCTACACATACAAAGATAAAAAGAGAAATGTTTAAAATAATTCTTAATTATTTTATATTCACTACATATTATGATAATAACTTTTGGAGTACCTGTCAGAAAAAAAATCATTTAACTTAATGAAATTTAAGTTCTAGTCTCTCTCTCTCACACACACACACACACACTTTAGCATATATATATATACATATATACAGAGAGACATATGTATAAATAGATATCATATTATAAATACATGTGTCCACACACATCTCCCCCTTCTCTTGCTGGGGATCAACCCAAGTGATTAACAT